CTGACTTTAGAACTCCCTGTAAATAATAACTAGGTTAAATCTGTCCTAGCTACTATAACTGTTGTAAATATTGCACAAGCCTAGCCTAACTGTGGCTACCTTGCAAATCCACTGTAAGTAATTAACACACAAGTCTCCTACTCTGGATTACTTGTAATCACTGTAAATAAATAAATTCACAAGCTTCTCTAGTCTACCTGGCCTGCCTGTAAATCACTGCAAATAATAACTTCTGTGTATAGTCAGCTTGGCCTAGCCTCTGTGTAACTCTGGGCCTAGGTGTGCTAACTTAACCTAACTCTGTTAAACTGTTCCTAACTGTGGCCTAGCTATGTTAATTTTAACCTAGCTATTCCACATAACGGTTGCGAAGGACCACTTTGTGAAAATTTGTCTGGACTGCCTCCAAGTGAGTCGCTTACCCTGGCAAGCTCTGTTGACACCGAGCTCTGAGGTCGGTACCTCAGCCTCACAAGTGGCTTATAGGACAGATTTTCATAAATGACTGATGTTGCAAGAAACCTCGCCTGCATGCACGTATAAAGGACTAACTTACTTGGCGTTGCAGCATATATCCTGATCTTCAACCTCCCTAAGCTTAGCCCCTTTGGACTTCCCCTCAGAAACCACGTGCAACCGGGAGCCTTAATTCCTACAGTGTTCAATCATTATTAGTGACCTGCCTGCACCTCAGAAATTCCTATATCCAAGGGGGTGTGTATCCCCTATTATAACTATGCAGACATGGACACTAGCTTCTAGGCTGACAAGATACGCTGGTACATACTGGACATGCACTGCCAGCTGCATGAAGGCCTACAGATCAACTCACTCACAATTTTCCCCAGACACTGGCCAGAAATCCTACGGAAAAGGTGGAGGTCTTGTCTTACTGTATGGGCCTGACAGAGGAGGTCATCTACGGTACATCGAGGTGCCTCTACCAGATTTCCCCAGGTCTCGTATGTGAAGACACGTGGGGGGGGCGCCGTCTGCTGATCACGGCACATCTTGTCCAGGTGATGCCTGGTCATAGAAGAATGAGCTGGTCTCTTCCAGACCTGCGCCTCGTCATTCAAACTAGGGCTACCAGTTCTCCCTAGCTAACTTAACCTAGTGTTTGCCTACATTATCGGCCCATTACTACCTATGTTAAGGTCTTAGGTCTACATTATTATTATCTACAGTTGCCTTAATAATCCTAATATTAATGTACTAACAGTAAAACTACCTACTTCTTCCCTGAAGGGTAAATCTATAAATCAAGAAGTACTTACCATCCAACCACGCCAAACCGGGAGAGAATGTGTTTTTGTTTTAGGTTGAGTGTAAGGGCCACCCAGCTCAGCCGTTCCATAACGGCCATGCTGGGACCCCTTTGTACGCCGTATCTGTCCTGTGGAACTTTAGGGACCAAATAAATTTCCACACTGACACTGTGTAAGGTGCAAGGACACAAGTGTAGCTAATGTGACATTTTATTGTGGTAACGTTTCGCTCTCCAGGAGGTTTGCCAAGCCGTTACAAACAGTACATGTATGTATAATGTTCGCCAAGACCGAGTCCTGCTCAAGCACTGTTCAGGTCGTTCATCTGGTGCGTCTCATAAGCGACAACACCGTATGTACTCCTAACTGTGGATGCTAGCGAGGAGAAGGATATGTCGTTATCACCAGCAACAGCTTGTCTGGCTCGTTAGCTCCATGGTACACTAGTGTGGCCTCAGTCATCTCTGGGTCATCTTCAGGAGGGGATATCAGTGCTAGTTGCCTGCGGAGTGTCTCAGTAACTTTGCACTCCAGAAGATAGTGTGTTAGGGAGCGCTGTACAATGTGGTGACAGTACTGGCACATCTCCTCAGCCTTGTCTTCCATCATCTTGGCTGTGGATAAGCCCAAACGAAGCCGATGGATGGTGGTACACTGCGCTCTGGATCAGCTTGTGTCATATGGAAGGGGTTCTCCCTGAGTCGCTGCTCGGTACCACTTTTGAGATGGGGTATCACTTAAGACCTCCCCCATAAGTTTCATTGCTCTGGCAGCCGCCCGTTTGGTCTGTCGTAGACTGATGGGGACAGTAATCCCAACATGTGGATACTCTGTGGCTGCCTTGGCTGCATCATCTGCCGCCTCATTTCCCCGGATGCCAGCATGACTTGGGATCTAGTTCAATTTCGATCTGTTACCCTGAGCTTCTAGGGCTGTCAATATGTTCAGAGTCGATGTAATGAGGTGAACATTGTCCTATGGTTGGAGATAGGAGAGGGCATTGATTGCAGAGGCAGAGTCAACATGTATGACAGGTCGGAGTCGATGTCGTAGGGCATGTGACAATGCCTGCTGAATCGCCACCAGCTCAGCTTGAAGGATCGTGCAGTGGTCAGGGAGTCGCCAGCCTTGTGTGTGACCATTGTGGTACAGTCCAGCTGCTGCTGCTCTTCCTGTCAGGGTCGACAGAACCATCTGTGAAATACACTGCACATGTGCATCCCTCTGCCAGTGCCATGCTTGTCTCAGCATGATTGCTGAGGATGTCTTGACTGCAGAGACACTTGGAGGTAGGTAGTTGCATGACGCAAACATTGGCCTGATCTGGGCGCCAGGGAGGTGGTGGATGATGCTCAGCAACAGGAAAGCAGCTTCCGCCCAGCAGCACAAAATGAACGAATCCAGGAGTAGTCCATGAAGAGAGTTGGATCTTGTGTCATGGTTGTCAATATCCGTCTTCTTAGTGGGGTACCTTGCTGCCGGTGCAGAATCATGGCTCCTTTGCAGGCGTTTATGTATCTTACTCTGTCAGCCAGGGAAGGAAGCCGACCTCAGATCTGAGACATACTGTGTTGGTCCAGATGGGGGCCCCAAGCATAGTTCTTATTGCCTGGTTTTGTATGACCTCCACCCTTTGCCTGCTCTGCGGGAAGAGATGAGCTAATGCTGGTGCACCATAGTCAATGAGCAAGCATATAGCTTGTATATAGTACAAGCGAAGTACATCTTTGCTCGCCCCTGCACGGTGCCTCGTCATGGCTCTCATGGCGCTGAGTCTGATTAGAGCACGGGATCTGACATACTCGGCCTGTTTCTGAAAGGTCAGCTTTTTATCAGTGTAGATTCCCAAGTATAGGTAGGAGCCTGTCCACTCAAGTTCTATACCCTGAATACGTAATCTATTCACAGGATCTGGTCCCTTGAACACCATTGCAAGAGATTTCTCGGCCAAGATCTTGAGGCCTAATTCCTTGCAGGACTGCGTAATTAGGTCCAAAGCCCTCTGAGCCTGTCGCTCCAAATTGCCTTTCCCATTCACTAGGAGTGCAAGATCATCAGCGTAGCTGAGTAGCTGCATACCACTGTGAACGGGAAGGCTCACAAGTTCCTGCATAAGGACGTTAAACAGGGTAGGACTGAGCACACCTCCTTGTGGGGTGCTGTTTTCCAGGGTTTTAAAGGAAGAGTAGTGTCCCTGAAAGCTGACACAGGCCTGCCTGTCCCTAAGGTAGGACTCTATCCAGGCCAGGAGGCGTCCTTTGATCCCCTTCCGAGCTAGTATTGCTAGAATTGCTGTGGGGCTGGCTAGCTCAAATGCCTTCTCAAGGTCGAGGTAGATGACGATACTAGGTTTTTTGTTACTATCAGCAATCTGGCTTAGTAGGGTGGTTATGCACTCTGCTCTACCCACTCCTTTGGTGAAGCCAAATATGTGATGATGAGGGGGTCCAAGTTTCCATAGGAGGGGCCTCGGTTTAACACTATCCTCTCAGCAGTCTTGGCTAAACAGCTAGTCAGCAATATGGGTCTCATACTGCCTGGGTCCTTGGGCTTTGGAATTGGTACAATGGAAGCCTTTTTCCAAGCTGCTGGGAGTGTCCCGGCCATCCACGACTTGTTTATGACGTCTAGTATGGCCTCCCATCCACTCTGCCCAGCCCATGCAATCATGGAGTATGTAACACCATCAGTGCCCGGGGCAGCATCACCTGTGTTCTTAATGGCACGTAGGAGTTCCAAGTCCATGAGGTCTTCATCAGTCACATCTTCCGACTCGCATGCAGCTTGTATCATTAGCTGGCATTGTGGCAGAAGATCCATCTGTATATTCCAGATGTCCTGTGGGAGCTCAGTGGAGGCTCCCCTGGAAGTGAAAAGCTCTACTAGTTTCTCAGCTTCCTGGGATGGGTTCGGGTGTGCTGGTGGCCTCGGCTTGCTCTTTCCAGTTGCTATGTTGAGCTTGCCTCATATCTCAGATAAGGTGGTGTGATGCCCGAATGTTGAGCACCACTCCAACCATTTCAGTTTTTACTCTGAGAGAGACTCTGCGGGAGACTCTGCGGGAGACTCTGCGGGCATGCTGCACAATGACTCTCAGAGTATTCCTGTTCTCTGCTGTAGGGTTATGCCTGTATAGCTTCCTAAAAGAGCTGATGCGGTGGTTCTGCTCCTATACCTCATCGTTGTAGAACCACCAGTCTCTTTTGTGAGTGCGTCCTGCGGACTTCTTTGGAATTGCACACTCTGCTGCCTGGATGAGAATAGTGATCAGCTCCTGTTCAGCTGTATCACAGTCTTCAGATGGAGTGTATGTGGACCACCAGTCATGAAGATAATCCTGGAACACCTTCCAGTTGGGCCTCCCATCTAGGAGGCAGCACAACTGTGGGAGGCCTGTTGATGTTGAAGGTGGTGATCACTGCAAAGTGGTCACTGACAAGGTTAGGATGAGTTTCCCATGTGGCTCCTGCTGTGAGTTGTCTTGTCCTGAAGGTAAGGTCGAGGCAGCCACCCAACAGGTGTGTGGGGTCTCCATTGTTTAGCAACTTCACCACTGGAATATTGTGTAGGAGCATTGCTATGTGTCTGCCAGCAGCTTTGGTTGCTGAGTGAGAGTGCAGCATTGGGTGATGTGCACTGAAATCTCCACCCACAATAATACACTTACTGCGTGCTAGCGCGAGGAGCTCTGCAATGTCGAGGGTGTGTCTTGGGTTCTTGTAGATGTTATAGATGGTAATGGGCTCCCCAGGTATGTGTGCAAGGATGGCCTGTGCCTCGACATCTTCCCTACAGTCCACAGGGTTGGCTATAACCTCGTGAAGTATTGTATCGGATACGAATACAGCTGTGCCTCTGCAGTGAATGCCCACATCCATGTGCTGAAAATACCCAACAAAACCAGGTAGTCTTGGGCACATAGTCGGGACAGTCAGAGTTTTTTGTAGCAAGATGATGTCAACCCAAATTATACTGCCTCCAGCAAGAGGCGCTGTTTGCCCCTCAGACCCTGAATATTCCATTGTAGGACCTTGAGGGTGTGATTTGGTACCGAAGTTATTCCATCATTGTTGTTTCCTGAGCTGGGGACTGAGCCCTGCCTGCTCTGAGAACCTGCAAATTCATGGCGTCCACCGTCTCCTCCTCAGTCAGTAAGCACATTCTCAGGAGCGTACTGACCATCTGCCGGAATACGCTCTGTTGTTCCATGGAGTTGATTGTGTTGCAAATAATATCCGTGAACACCTTGATGAGTGCTACAAGATCCTCCCTGGTGAGGGCCTGTGTTGGTATTGGGTTCGAAACTGTGGATATTACCTGGGCTGTTGTGGCCTGTAGGGACTGCTGAGGGTTGGATTTCTTTATTGTATGCACCGTGGTCTGTTGCTGTATACCAGGTTGGGTAGCCGGCATCTGCTGGTGAGGTGCCAGTTGAGCCTGCAAAGTGGCTGTGCCAGGTAAGGAGTGCCTGCATTGTCGTGCTATGGCCGGTGGGGGCTCGCTTAGTGCTGCCTGCTGATCGCGTTGACCAGATGTACCCTGTTGATGCCTCCTGTTCCTCTTGTTTCTGTTTCTTCATTGAGGTAGGGGTGCAGGAGGCTCCTGACCATGACACCTGGTTGAGGCTTTGAGGGTTGGGAATTCCTGGGCATTGAGTTGAGTTACCTGATGAGAGGTCTGTGGTATGGCAGGGTTCTCTGCACCCATCGTCTGCTGAGAGTGATGATCTGTCGTAGCCTGCTGCTGAGTTTTTGGCATCTTCCAGACTCCTTGAATTCTGGTGAGCCTCTCGGGGCATCGAGGATTCGAAGCATGGTGTTTCTGACTGCAGTTCTGGCATTGTGGAATGGATGGTGATGCATTTTTCAGCTTGGTGATGCATTCCTTGGTAGGGTGGTGCTGGCTGCAGACACCGCAGATTACTCTGTTCAGACAGAGTGCACCCAGGTGTCCGTAACGCTGGCACTTGAAACAGCGAACTGGTTCTGCCGTGAAGGCCCTGACATCGTACCTGCCCCAAGAACTGAGGTCCAACTGGGATGGCAGCGGTCCTAAATGCTGTATGAGGACCTGTTGGGTTGGCGCGTTGCATGCCGTCTGTGCCTTGAGACACTGAGCTGACACCACACTGGGGTGAGCTGATACTGCCTCGATGGGCATCATCACCGGGTATCGCATCACTACACCCTTGGTGATCTTCTGCCGAGAGTCCAGTTCCTCCAGGGTGAATGAGCGATCTGTCTCTATGACTCTCTTCAATGTGCTGTACATTTCCTTGTTGAGAGGAGTCAGTATTGGTTCTCCCCTCAATTTGAACCATATCTTGAACCTCAGGTTGTGCCATCATTCCAGGTATGAAACAACGCCTTAGTGGGTTCTGTGATCCCTGTAAGACTTCACCTTGAATTTGCCAGGTCGGTTGAGCTTGTTTGCCTGCTCCTTGGACGGATGGCAATTCTTGCGGTTGTCCACAGTGATCCATCCTTTTTGGTTCTCGGGGGGTGAGGTGTTTATTTCCTCCCCTGTTTCCATATTCGCTGGCTCCATGGTTGGAACTGTCAGATCTGCTACAATGTGAGCAGGATCTTCCTCTTCCTCTGATGACACAGAGTGGTCTCGCAACTTCTTCGCTAGAATTGCGCCCCACATTTCCAAATCCGAGTCCTCTGTCGTGTTCATGGAGCATCATGGCCTCTTCTTTTCGGCAGAAGCCATGTGCCTATCTAGTGATAAGGTAGTGTTCTCCGTGAACTGTATTGTAGCATGTACATGAGCACAGAGGGTATATATAGGCTCAGAGTGGGGTGCAATACTGATGGTAGTAGTAGTAGTAATATAAGTTGTAGTAGTAGTAGTAATACAGTATGGTAGAACAATTAACTTGCACATGAGTAAAAGGATATAAAAGCTATTACTTGGGTAAAATAAAAATAGGTTAGACAAATATTTCTGTTGGAGGCTGGATTAAAATAGGACTGTTTCAATGTTCATTCTCTGTAATGTGCTTGTGTAGTATTAGCAGGAGAGCCTATGTTTACTGTTTTCAGGAGGATTCTTGCTAAGACTTTAGAGATGGTGAAGCTGCCTTTGTTTTGTTTAATTGTATTAGAAACAGCGATTAGTGCTGATTTCAGGCACTTGTGTCTGCAGAAATTAGTTTCTTTGATCACTACTAGTGGCCTACATCTCATCTCTTGACAGTATATAAGGCTGCATACTCTCACTTCAACTTCACATTGTTTCAGACTGTGGAACAAATACTTTTCTCCAGGCTAAGGGACTGACCACCTCAAAACTAGATCTTCAAGGGTGATGGATTGATTACATCATCTTCACATCTCGTCTGTTTCTACCAACTTTTCTGTGCTCAGTTGAAGAAGCCTATTGTGTAGGCAAAATGTTTCAAAATGAAGATAGCTAACTGTTGCATATACAGTGGACCCCCGCATAACGATGGCATCACATAGCGATTAATCCGCATACCGCTTACTTTAATCGCAAAAATTTTGCCGCGCATACCGATTAAAAACCCGCTCACCGATTTTCGTCCGAGACGCGTCCAATGTGCGCCCTCAGCCAGCCTCACATGTGCCGCCCGTGCCATTGTTTACCAGCCAGCTTCCGCGGTAACATCCAAGCATACACTCGGAATATTTCGTATTATTACAGTGTTTTCGGTGCTGTTTCTGGAAAATAAGTGACCATGGGCCCCAAGAAAGCTTCTAGTGCCAACCGTACACCAATAAGGGTGAGAATTCCCATTGAAATGAAGAAAGAGATCATTGATAAGTATGAAAGTGGAGTGCGTATCGCCGACCTAGTCAAGTTGTACAAGAAACCCCAATCAACCATCGCTACTATTGTGGGCACCAGAAAGACAATCAAGGAAGCTGTTCTTGCCAAAGGTTTAACTGTGTTTTCGAAACAAAGATCGCAAGTGATGGAAGATGTTGAGAGACTCTTATTGGTGTGGATAAATGAAAAACAGCTAGCAGGAGATAGCGTCTCTCAAGCGATCATATGTGAAAAGGCTAGGAAGTTGCATGAGGATTTAATTAAAAAAAATGCCTGCAACTAGTGATGATGTGAGTGAATTTAAGGCCAGCAAGGTTGGTTTGAGAGATTTAAGAAGCGTGAGTGGCATCCATAGTGTGATAAGGCATGGTGAGGCTGCCAGTTCGGACCACAAAGCGGCTGAAAAATATGTGCAGGAATTCAAGGAGTACATAGACAGTGAAGGACTGAAACCTGAACAAGTGTTTAATTGTGATGAAACAGGCCTGTTCTGGAAGAAAATGCCAAGCAGGACCTACATTACTCAGGAGGAAAAGGCACTCCCAGGACATAAGCCTATGAAAGACAGGTTACTTTGTTGATGTGTGCCAATGCTAGTGGTGATTGCAAAGTTAAGCCTTTATTAGTGTATCACTCTGAAAACTCCCAGAGCGTTCAGGCAAAAGAATGTCCTCAAGGATAATTTGTGTGTGCTGTGGAGGGCAAACAGTTAAGGCATGGGTCACTAGGGACTTTTTCTATAACTGGTTACACCATGCATTTGCCCCCAATGTGAAAGATTACCTAACTGAAAAGAAATTAGACCTTAAGTGCCTCCTGGTGTTAGACAATGCCCTGGTCATCCTACAGACGTGGCAGAGCAACTTTATGGGGACATAAGCTTCATTAAGGTTGAAGTTTTGCCTCCTAATACCACTCCTCTCCTGCAGCCCATGGACAGCAGGTTATTGCAAACTTCAAAAAACTGTACACAAAAGCTCTGTTTGAAAGGTGCTTGTAGTGACCTCAGAAAACTCAACTGACTCTAAGAGAGTTTTGGAGAGAGCACTTTAATATCCTCAATTGTGTAAACCTTATAGGTAAGGCTGGGAGGGAGTGGACTAAGAAGACCTTGAACTCTGCTTGGAAGAAACTGTGGGCCAGAATGTGTAGACAAAAGGGATTTTGAAGGGTTTGAGGCTAACCCTGAGAATCCTGTGCCAGTTGAGGAATCCATTGTGGCATTGGGAAAGTCCTTAGGGTTGGAGGTTAGTGGGGAGGATGTGGAAGAGTTGGTGGAGGAGGACAATGAAGAACTAACCACTGATGAGCTGATAGATCAACTTCAAGAGCAAGAGGCCAGACCTGGCGAAACTGGTTCAGAGGAGGGGAGAGAGAAATTGAAGAAGTTGCCTACTACAAAGATAAAGGAAATCTGTGCAAAGTGGCTTGAAGTGCAAACTTCTTGGATGAAATCACCTCACACAGCTATTGCAAGCCGTGCTGGTGATTATTACACTGACAATGTTGTGAAAACTTTAGGCAAGTCATAAAGGAACGAGAGGTACAGGCCACTATGGACAGATATCTTGTGCGAAAGAAGTCCAGTGACTCTGAAGCTGGTCCTAGTGGCATTAAAAGAAGAAGGGAAGTAACCCCAGAAAAGGACTCGACACCTCAAGTCCTAATGGAAGGGGATTCCCCTTCTAAACACTAACACTCTCTCTCCCCTCCTCCCATCCCATCAATCATCACCAGATCTTCAATAAAAGTAAGTGTCATGTAATTGTGCATGCCTTTTTCAGTTTGTGTGTATTAAAATTAACATTTCATGTGGTAAAAAAATTTTTTTTTCATACTTTTGGGTGTCTTGCACGGATTAATTTTATTTCCATTATTTCTTATGGGGAAAATTCATTCACATAACGATTATTTCGCATAACAATTACCCCTCTTGCACGGATTAAAATCGTTAACCGGGGGTCCACTGTATGTCTTACCTAACAACAGGGTAGCAGCACATTGGTAATGTATTCCATTTTGCTAAATAAATAAAAGATCAGAATTGTTGGTTTTGAGGGAGTGTAAAGGGCAGACGAAAGATTGTGGGCACCGAACCCTGATAGTTGGCAAGAATCAGCTATTACTGGAGAGCTTCCCAGTGGGAAGGAAAGACACATCCCTGTGGATACCAGAGGACTGATGTATAGCTCACACTACCTGAGAAAGAAACACACTGGAGCAGGAGGATCAGAACCATGAAATATAAAACTCCCAAAGATAGAATCCATGTCTGACCAGGTAACCACCAACTGAGACAGGAACTCCTAGATCCTGGGCAGAAGCAATAGAATAGCAGAGAGTGGCAAGGTCATATTATATGCACAACCATTACCAGGAATGCTGAGGTTGGAGAGACAACTTATGGTTAGTGTTAGAGCTCATAAACTGGAAAGTCAGGTGCAACATGTGGATGGACATGAACATGGAGAGAATTTCTCCTAAATTGTTCTTAGATAATTCAGTTTACCCAATAGTATATATTTAGGAGAATCAGATTGAAAGATTTTTTACTCAGACTTTTTCTTTAGGCAGAAAATCACTATGTATTTTACTTTATTGTTGGGTCAAATAAAGACTTGATGGAATCCTAATATTGAACTGGTCACTCTGTCATTGCTAAAGTGACACTTATATTATTATTATTATAACACTGGCCGAATCCCACCAAGGCAGGGTGGCCCGAAAAAGAAAAACTTTCACCATCATTCACTCCATCACTGTCTTGCCAGAAGGGTGCTTTACACTACATTTTTTAAACTGCAACATTAACACCCCTCCTTCAGAGTGCAGGCACTGTACTTCCCATCTCCAGGACTCAAGTCCGGCCTGCCGGTTTCCCTGAACCCCTTCATAAATGTTACTTTGCTCACACTCCAACAGCACGTCAAGTATTAAAAACCATTTCTCTCCATTCACTCCTATAAAACACGCTCACGCATGTCTGCTGGAAGTCCAAGCCCCTCGCACACAAAACCTCCTTTAGCCCCTCCCTCCAACCTTTCCTAGGCCGACCCCTACCCCGCCTTCCTTCCACTACAGACTGATACACTCTTGAAGTCATTCTGTTTCGCTCCATTCTCTCTACATGTCCGAACCACCTCAACAACCTTTCCTCAGCCCTCTGGACAACAGTTTTGGTAATCCCACACCTCCTCCTAACTTCCAAACTACGAATTCTCTGCATTATATTCACACCACACATTGCCCTCAGACATGACATCTCCACTGCTCCAGCCTTCTCCTCGCTGCAACATTCATCACCCATGCTTCACGCCCATATAAGAGCGTTGGTAAAAACTATGCGTACTCTCATACATTCCCCTCTTTGCCTCCAAGGACAAAGTTCTTTGTTCCACAGAACCCTTTTAAGTGAAACCACTCACCCTTTTCCCCCTAATCGTTCATGTTTCGCCTCATCTTTCATAGACCCACCCGCTGACAGCCCAATCCCAAATATCTAAATTTACTTTCCCACCCCCTCCTTTCCCTCTCTCCCTCCAATTGTTACCCAAATTTTTTTCATCCCCTTTAATCTTTTTGTTTTTCCCCCAAAACCCCTTTATTTTTTCCCTGTATTCACTTTTAATTTTCTTTTTTTTGCATACCCTACCAAATTCTTCCCCCAATCTCTCCCAAATTCCTTCGAATCCCAAAGAGAACAGTGTCATCAGCAAAGAGCAACTGGGGGAAATCCCACTTTATTTTGTGATTTTTTATCTTTTAACTCCACCCCTCTTGGCCAAAAAACCCTCGAATTTACTTCTTTAAAAAACCCACCCATCTAAAAAATATTTTAAAACCCCCCCAGGGTGACATCACCATCCTTGCCCAAAGGCCTATTTTTATGGGAAATAATTTCCCTCTTTCCCCCTTCCTCAAAATTTTGGGCCCTCATATCCTTTTAAAAAACTCTTCACTCTTTCAGAAACCTCCCCTCCCTACCTTTCCCCAAAAACCCATCTCCCCAAATTCCCCCCTTTTCCCAACCCTGTATACCCTTTTTCCCAAACCAAAAAATGCCAAAAAGCCCTCTTTAGCCTTATCAAAATTTACTGTTCATTTTTTATGTTTCACTGTAAAACCTGGTCCACACCCCCCCTCCCTTTTCCCTTTAAACCCTCCCTTTTTCCCCCCTTCTTGCTACCCTATTCCCCCGTCTTACTTTAATTTTTCAAAAATTTAACTCTACCATACATTTTTAAACCAGGTATACTCAACGACTTACCCCCCTTAATTTTTGCACTTTCTTTTGCCCCTTTCCCCTTTATAAAAAGGGACTATGTTTGCTCTCGGGCAAACCCCGGGGGGTACCTTACCCTCTTCCATAAAATTTTTTTTAAATAATTTCCCCAAAACCACTCCAAAACTATATCCCCCCCGGTTTTTTAACATTTCTTCTTTATCCCTTTAAAACCCCGGTTTCCTTACCCCTTTTTCTTTTTCCCTACTGATCACAAACTTCCCCCACACTCACAACTGGCTCTTCCTCATTACAAGATGTTTTTTCCCTCCTTGCCCTATCCCCGGGAAATAACGGGCTTCCCATTTTCATCAACTTTTAAACAGTTCCTAAAAAATTTTCCCCTCCTTTTTCCCAGTACCTCTAATTTTCTCCTTTAAATAACTCTCCTCTCCTTTTTTTAACTGAAAAAATCCATTTTTTCTCTAGGTTCCCTTTAAAACTTTTTTAATCTCACCCCAAAAAATTTTTAACTTTTTTTTCAACAAAATTTGTTGTAACATTCACCCACTCTCTCTTTTGCTTCTTTTTACTTTGCTTCACCACTCTTTTAAACCCTCTCTTTTTTCTCCAATACTTTTCCCCTCCTTGAATCACTTTACTTTGTAAAAACTTTCATATGTTTACTTTTTCCCCCTTACTACCCCCTTTTTACATCTTTCATTCCACCAATCGTCCTTTTTCCCTCTGCACCCACTTTCCTTTTTCCCAACAAACTTCTTTGAACACTTTTAACACTACTTTTTAAAAACCTACCCCATCCCTCTTCACCCCCATTGCCTATCCCACTCTTTTGCCCATCTATCCCAAAAATAGTTTTTTTAAAAATTCTTACCCAAAAATGCCTCCTCTTTTAGTTTTTAAAAACCTTCCCTTCTCTTCCTGATGTTTTCTATTCCCCTTGTATCCCATCTACCTTTTACTCTCAGTGTAGCTAAAACTAAAAAATTTGATTGATATTTTTCTGTGGCCCTTTATAAACTGTCCCCTGAAGTTTTTTAATCTCCCAAATACTTTAATCCAAAAACTATTTTTCATTTTGCCCAAACATCATATCTTGTAAAATTTTTTACCCCTTTTTTTTTAAAAATTTAATATTTAACTAAAAACAAAACCCCCCTTTTCTATACAAAGTTCAATCAAAGTGCTCCCATTTTCTTTTTCACCGGGCCCCCAAACTTACCTACCACACCCTCTCAAAAAGCTTCCCCTACTTTAGCATTCAGGGCCCCTACCACAAATTTCTCTCTCACTTGGTTTTAAAGGTCCCATCCCTTCACTTAACATCTCCAAAATCTCTCTCTCTCCCCTACATTCCTCTTTTTCTTAGGTGCATACACGCTTTTTATGGGCCCCCTTTTTTGCATCCAACCTTTTTCTTTAATCCACATAATTTTTGAAATTTTCACATTCTTTTTCTCTTTTTTTCCTTCCATAAATGAAACCTTCAACATTATGCTACCCCTTTTTTGCTTTTAATCTTCAGTACTCCAGATTTAAAACCCAATTTTTTTTTCCCCCCCCCCCCCGAAATCCCTAACCCCCTTTTGCTTTTTTTTGCTTAGGGGGCCCGGACATCCAAAATTTTTTTCATTCGTAACCCCAGCAATCAACCCGTTTCTTGTCATCCCCACTACTTTCCCCGCCCCATTCAAGCTTCCCCGTTTTATAAAGTTTGTTTTTCCCTTTTCTTTGTAAATGTCTACAGGGGGAAGGGGTTACTAGCCATTGGGTCCCGGCATTTTATATGTTTTCAATTGTATTGGAAAATTTTTTACACTGCAGTACATACCCGCATGATTTTTTTCTTTTTTTCTTTTTAAAAATCAGCGGTGTGGCTTGACAGATGAAGGGCCTTAAAAACCCTAGGGTGGCGGGGGGACCCGGGTCCTACCTTACATCCCACCATTTACCATGCTAAGGTTAGGAACATGTAGAATTTTAATAATTTAATAGTTCATGTTAAGCGCTAAACCCATGTGGGTCATTCAGCGCAAGGAACATCTGGAAGTGAAGTGTAATAAATAGACAAGAGGCTTAAAAAGCTCCTGTTTATTGTTAAGTAAAAGGACACAAATGCAGCTAATGTGACATTTTGTTGTGGCAACGTTTCACTCTCCAGGAGCTTTTTCACAAGTGAAACGTTGCCACAATAAAATGTCACATTAGTTGCATTTGTGTCCTTTTACTTAACATATTGTCGGTAATTCTACCAGTATTGATATACTCCTGTTTGTTCAATTATCCATTGTCTGAGCATTCATTTGAAAGCATTTTTTATAGTACAATACAGTATACTACAGTGTATGATTACACCATTTTAATTACTGTATATGATATAAACCTTGGTAATAAATACTGACGCTTTGGTTTAGAAAGAAACATAAGCAAACACTATGACATATTTATTAGAAAATGTTTCGGCCCTGGGACCTTGATCATTTCTGACATACAGAGGTAGAAAGACATTATACATGTATATATAGGCAGAGAATGATGTGTGAGTGACGCATGGTGACCTGAAAAATGCCATGTTGGGATGAGGACAGGTAGACAATGAGATCATGTGACTCCTGTGTTGTAGGGTTGGTGGTGCTTAGCCTGCTTGAGTATCATGTATGCTAATGTTTTAGAAATTTTGTGGTTTCTAGTGTTACGTTCTATTGTGTTGGTGACGGTGATTTGCAAGGCTTCTAGACACCATCGGCGTCTGAGGTCTGGTTCAGTGAGAATGAGTTGTGCTTCATCCCAGTTCATCAAATGCCCTGAGGAGTCTATGTGGAGGACACAGGTGTACCTTAAATCGTCTCTGTTACAGGCACTTCTTTGCTCGTTCAGGCGGACTGCAAGATCTCTGCCTGTCTCGCCTACATATTTCTTGGGGCAGAATCCACAGGGGATGGTGTAGACGCCTGCTGTGGAAGTTAGAGGTGTGAGGCTGTGTTTCATAATGAGGTTTTTGATACCTGGAGTTTACCTGGAGAGAGTTCTGGGGGTCAACGCCCCCGCGGCCCGGTCTGTGACCAGGCCTCCTGGTGGATCAGAGCCTGATCAACCAGGCTGTTGCTACTGGCTGCACGCAAACCAACGTACGAGCCACAGCCCGGCTGGTCAGGAACCGACTTTAGGTGCTTGTCCAGTGCCAGCTTGAAGACTGCCAGGGGTCTGTTGGCAGTCCCCCTTATGTATCCTGGGAGGCAGTTGAACAGTCTCGGGCCCCTGACACTTATTGTATGGTCTCTTAACGTGCTAGTGACACCCCTGCTTTTCATTGGAGGGATGTTGCATCGTCTGCCAAGTCTTCTGCTTTCGTAGTGAGTGATTTTCGTGTGCAAGTTCGGTGCTAGTCCCTTTAGGATTTTCCAGGTGTATATAATCATGTATCTCTCCCGCCTGCGTTCCAGGGAATACAGGTTTAGGAACCTCAAGCGCTCCCAGTAATTGAGGTGTTTTATCTCTGTTATGCGCGCCGTGAAGGTTCTCTGTACATTTTCTAGGTCAGCAATTTCACCTGCCTTGAAAGGTGCTGTTACTGTGCAGCAATATTCCAGCCTAGATAGAACAAGCGACCTGAAGAGTGTCATCATGGGCTTGGCCTCCCTAGTTTTGAAGGTTCTCATTATCCATCCTGTCATTTTTCTAGCAGATGCGATTGATACAATGTTATGGTCCTTGAAGGTGAGATCCTCCGACATGATCACTCCCAGGTCTTTGACGTTGGTGTTTCGCTGTATTTTGTGGCCAGAATTTGTTTTGTACTCTGATGAAGATTTAATTTCCTCATGTTTACCATATCTGAGTAATTGAAATTTCTCATCGTTGAACTTCATATTGTTTTCTGCAGCCCACTGAAAGATTTGGTTGATGTCCGCCTGGAGCCTTGCAGTGTCTGCAATGGAAGACACTGTCATGCAGATTCGGGTGTCATCTGCAAAGGAAGACACGGTGCTGTGGCTGACATCCTTGTCTATGTCGGATATGAGGATGAGGAACAAGATGGGAGCAAGTACTGTGCCTTGTGGAACAGAGCTTTTCACCGTAGCTGCCTCGGACTTTACTCTGTTGACGACTACTCTCTGTGTTCTGTTAGTGAGGAAATTATAGATCCATCGACCGACTTTTCCTGTTATTCCTTTAGCACGCATTTTGTGTGCTATTACGCCATGGTCACACTTGTCGAAGGCTTTTGCAAAGTCTGTATATATTACATCTGCGTTCTTTTTGTCTTCTAGTGCATTTAGGACCTTGTCGTAGGGATCCAATAGTTGAGACAGACAGGAGCGACCTGTTCTAAACCCATGTTGCCCTGGGTTGTGTAACTGATGGGTTTCTAGATGGGTGGTGATCTTGCTTCTTAGGACCGTTTCAAAGATTTTTATGATATGGGATGTTAGTGCTATTGGTCTGTAGTTCTTTGCTGTTGCTTTACTGCCCCCTTTGTGGAGTGGGGCTATGTCTGTTGTTTTTAGTAACTGTGAGACGACCCCCGTGTCCATGCTCCCTCTCCATAGGATGGAAAAGGCTCATGATAGGGGCTTCTTGCAGTTCTTGATGAACACGGATTTCCATGAGTCTGGCCCTGGGGCAGAGTGCATGGGCATGTCATTTATCGCCTGTTCGAAGTCATTTGGCGTCAGGATAACATCGGATAGGCTTGTGTTAATCAAATTTTGTGGCTCTCTCATAAAAAATTCATTTTGATCTTCAACTCTCAGTCTGGTTAGCGGCTTGCTAAAAACTGAGTCATATTGGGACTTGAGTAGCTCACTCATTTCCTTGCTGTCATCTGTGTAGGACCCATCTTGTTTAAGTAGGGGCCCAATACTGGACGTTGTTCTCGACTTTGATTTGGCATAGGAGAAGAAATACTTTGGGTTTCTTTCGATTTCATTTATGGCTTTTAGTTCTTCCCGCGATTCCTGACTCCTATAAGATTCCTTTAGCTTAAGTTCGATGCTTGCTATTTCTCTGACTAGTGTCTCCCTACACATTTCAGATATATTGACCTCTTTTAGCCGCTCTGTTATTCTTTTCTGTCACCTGTAAAGGGAGCGCCTGTCTCTTTCTATTTTACATCTACTCCTCCTTTTTCTTAGAGGAATAAGCCTTGTGCATACATCGAGTGCCACCAAGTTAATCTGTTCTAGGCATAAGTTGGGGTCTTGTGTTGCTTAGTATATCTTCCCAGCTTATATCAGTTAGGACTTGGTTTACTTGGTCCCACTTTATGTTTTTGTTATTGAAGTTGAATTTGGTGAATGCTCCCTCGTGACTAGTCTCATTATGTCGGTCTGGGGCTCCATGCATACATGTCTGAACCTCAATTATGTTGTGATCTGAGTATATTGTTTTTGATATGGTGACATATCTTATCAGATCATCATTGTTAGTGAAGATGAGGTCTAGTGTATTCTCCAGTCTAGTAGGCTCTATTATTTGCTGGTTTAAATTGAATTTTGTGCAGAGATTTAAAAGCTCGTGTGAGTGTGAGTTTTCATCAGAGCTGCCTCCTGGTGTTATTACTGCAACAATATTATTTGCTATATTCCTCCATTTTAGGTGCCTTAAGTTGAAATCCCCCAGGAGCAAGATGTTGGGTGCAGGAGCTGGAAGATTTTCCAGACAGTGGTCAATTTTTTAACAGCTGTTCCTGGAATTGCTGGGATGTTGCATCCGGAGGCTTGTAGACTACCACAATGACTAGGTTTTGGTTCTCGACCTTTACTGCTAAAACTTCCACTACATCATTTGAGGCGGCATTAAGCAGTTCTGTGCAAACAAGTGACTCTGCAATGTACAGGCCAACCCCCCCCCCCCCTTTTGCCTGTTCACTCTGTCACATCTGTATAGGTTGTAACCTGGGATCCATATTTCGTTGTCCAAGTGATCCTTTATGTGGGTCTCAGTGAAAGCCGCGAACATTGCCTTTGCCTCTGCAAGCAGTCCACGGATGAAAGGTATTTTGTTGTTTGTTGCTGGCTTTAGACCCTGTATATTTGCAAAGAAGAATGTCATCGGACTGGTGGTATTGTTGGTACTAGGGGGGGGATTTTTTTTCCGGCATTAGTATCTGTATCTGTTGGTTTGGAGTGGAGGCCATCGACTGTGGTTCCACTCCAGGAATGACTGGATTTGGTGTACGATTTCTGCCATTTCCTGCCAGCTTTTTTTCCTTCCTGGCGCTAAAAAACCTCTCCCTCTTGAGTGGCTGTGGCTACCCAGGTTTTCCCATGGCCTGGATGTTTTGTATCTTTTTGTCCCCTTTAGATGGTGTGCCTGGCAATTTAAGTTATAGCACAGTCTTTCCTGTACTGAAGAGGTACACAGTTCAGGGTGAAAAAGCTTACAGGAAGGGAGTTTGCATTTTCCTGTTGTCATATGGGCATGGCATTTTCTAGGGTGGTCATAGTTGCACATCCCATCTGTTTTTCCAGATTTCCCATGCCTGCAGATACCAAGTGCATAGTATGTACACAGGTTTGGTTTCCGTTTACCTTGGGTTTCTGTGACTGTATTCCCTGGTGGTGCATGTTTCCCTGATAGATGATGTGTTTATGATGGAAACGTTGATGTTACTCTTAGCAACTGCCCGGCGAGTATTCGTGGCAACATCACCACATGGGAGCACTGTGAACTGCTTAGAGGGCTGTTCCATGGACGGTTTGTTGAGGATAGCTTGTGTCTTGAATCTGCAATCCCTGATGAAGAAAGATGGAAACTGAAGACATGTGAAGGCTTGTGTTACGTAAATACATTCTTCTTCAAGAAAACAAGGGCTGAAGTAACACTGATTCTGATATAGGCTGGCATGTGTTGGCATCACTGAGAAGATTTAAAACTTTATTGTTGTAATCGACAGTGTCGAGTAACACCACACCTCCTCTTTTGTCAGCAGTTGTAATGATGATATCATTGTTCCAAG